AAGCCAAGATTTAATCATGATCAAAGATATACCGATCTCTAAAATTCTTTTTCGATCTGTAAATATGTATTAACAAGTATAATTTTTTTTTAATTTACAAGACAACCCAGAGAAACTGCCACTCTTATTCTCCCTCTATCTCTCTTCCCTTCCAAACAGCTATAAACATGTTTTTTTCTATTTTTTTTCAATCTATGTCTTTAATAGTTCCTGTTTTCAAAAAAAGGATGCGATAATACTGCGAGATAGGAACGAAATCGCAGGAAGTACCGAGTACATCGGAAGTACACCGGAAGAGGAGGAATCTGAATATTTGCTTCAAATAGTATGGAAATCCTTAAATTAATATATGAAATCTCGAAAAAGAAATTATAACATTAAGTAAATATAAATATAATGTAAATGAAATTTTGACATAATCTTGAGAATTTTTAGATAATCTTTTATACATTTAATATATTTTTATATATATCAATGTAAGGAATAGATTGTAAATCAAGTTCCTTCATGGCAATGTAAAAAGCTGAAGAAATAAACTATTTTATCTTATATGTATTGATAAAATATAAGCATAAATCATTAAGAATAAACATTCGGAAAAGAAATAATGTACAAATAGTATGTACTCTACAAATAGAAATAAATATCATAGTCAATAAAAATTGTAGTTATATTGTCACCGTCGTTCATTTCTCTAAAATGACGGCCAGATCTTTTGCATCTTAATAAATACATTTACTTACTGTGAATAGTTTCGTTAATATTGAAATTCCTAAAATTTTCCTATACGTGTGTATAGTTCGAGTGTAGAAGTGTCCGATCTTTTCGAAATTTCTGAATATGATTATTTATCCATAGATTATTGTCCATTACAGTCAAAAATAAAAAAAACGGAATATCTCCGCATTTAATAAAAAGAGCGTAAAACGACATTAAAAAATCAAGATATCGTTTGGTGTAAAAATGCAATATGTTATAGATACTTTCTTCAATCGCGATTCATCGATGATTCATTTAGAAAAAACAAATTTGTAAATGATTTTTAGCGGATATTCAACTATTCGAGAAATTCCCGATTTCAACTATTCGATTTAAATAGATTCGAATAATTTTAGTTTCTATAAAAGATAATTACAAACCTTTAATTTCTATTATTTTTTTATAAAAATTAAGAATAAAAAACGCATAAACTTGGCGTCATTTATTTACTTTTTTTAAAAGATAATTTGTTCGGGGTAAAGGATAACTACAAGAAAGGATCCTGGTCTATACCAATAATAATTTTTTTAAGGCAATAATTTTTCTAAAATACTTTTTTTACAAAACTTAAAAACATCAAAAAACGCATGGCAAAAAACTTGGCGTCATTTTCCTTTTCTTAAAAAATTTTGTAAAGGATAACTACAAAAAAAGACCCTAGCTTGTACACTAACACAGTCTAATAATTCCCCAATGAAATCGAAATCAAATTTTAATTTAAGCAATAAATCAAAGTATTTTTTTAAAAAATTTATTGTCGCTTTTATAAATTTTCTCTATGATTGTGATCCCAGTATTCGCATGTATAACGATCGGTCTCGTTGCTTGCGCGTGTTTTTGGCGCGAGACTGCCATGCTCTTGATTGTGTACATATCTTAACAAATATACGTATTGTGTATACATGTTTTGAAATAGAAATCGTAAACACCACAGTAAGAATAGAAATTCAGAGATATTACAATGTTTAAAAATTAGAAAATTTTAAATAATTATTCATCAAAAATGTTTACACTTTCTAAATAAATTTCGTTAATATTTTAATATCTGTACGTCAGTTCTTCTTCCATAATTTGCCCTTATCGGTATTTTTATCACATTATACAATTATATGAAGTCATCGAGTATTTTTGCAATAGACGATTATTTGTCATCAGCTGACGGATGGTTGCCGGCAACCCACGTTTTGCCGATCCGCATCAAACTCGCATAGATATATATATATACTTCTTGAATACCGACGTTAACGAGAGTAATTTGATTTAGTTGTAGAAGGGAATTGCACTCTATGTTCGATATAAAGAACAAGGATAGAGAAATTGCGTAAGAAGCGAGGGAGGGAAGAAAAGAGAGAAGGGAATAAAGATACGCGGGATTCACCGCCGCCATTACCGCCATAAGCATTGCCGCTCCGTAGCCACTATTCCCGCCGCCGCTGCCGCACTTCCATCCCCACCATCACTTTCGCACTACCACTGCGCCACCACCACGCTACAATCACGCTACTACCGCGCCGCCACTGTCGTTGCCGCTGCCGCGCGCGCTGCCACCACTCTTACCACTAATCCACTGCTAACGCCATCGCTAACGGCGCCACCCAACTAACCTCAAAATCTTACCTTTGTTGATACGGGCTTCAATGATCTGTACGTCTTCGTCGACGCTTTTGTCGCCCATCTTCTCATTAAACTGGATATCCATGCACATAATTCCACGTCGTGTGGAACTTCGTTCGCGACACGGCTACAATGCCACCGCGCGCCCGTGACATTTACATGAAATTGCGTGCTTGCGAGCAAACGAACGCGGGCGCGAACGCGCGCGAAAATTTGTACGCGCGTGATGAAGGAACCGGAGGGATAAAAAACCGCCGTCGTCGTGTTCGTAGTCAGCACAAAGGGGAAGGAAAAAGAGAGAGAGAAAGAGAGAGCTATGTGAGAGATGCGTCTGTGCTCGTTTGTATACCTTCGTATGTGTCAAGCTCACGAATAGCCGCGAGACAGTGTGTTAGAGGAAGACGGGAAGAGAGAGAAACGTACAGACGCCACGCCACGACACGTCTCACACGCACATTCACATACACCACTACACCGCAGTTACACCGCCGATCGTCGTTGCGATACCGCGCGCACTACGCGTCTCCTCGCCGGTAGGATATTGCATTGCGACGGACATACATACGTGAAGCAACACGTCGTTCGCGCGCGATTCTCTCTCGTTCCGCGTTTTCTGCTGTTTTGCTAAGAAGCCGACTGGGGTTCAGATCAGATTTGAATGTGGCACACGTTGCCAGTTCTTTCTCATACTCTCTCTCCTCTTCTCTCCTTCCCGCTTGCCTTTCTCGCACCCCCCTTCTTCCCTCACCCCCTCGGTGCCCCCTCCCTCCCCCGCGAACCCCCTCGAACCCCCTTTTCCGTCTTATGTACTTAACGGTTGCGACGTTGCCGCACATCCGGTATTCCATGGCCGCATGGTGGGGAAAACAGAATTTCGAAGGAGTGGGAGGTAGTACATAGGTGCCGACAATCGTGAGGTGGGGTTTTGCGCGGTGAACGACGAATGGCATGGCGGGGGCAAACAACGGGAGGGGATGTACATATGTACACAAAAAAGAGTGGGGGGACATTTCCAGCTCACAAATGGGAATTTTCCATGAAATGTCGGTGCAGCCGCGACCGTTATTTGGTCACGTGGTCATGCCGGAAATCGTAAAGCCGATGCGACGCGCGCGCCCTCTTCTTCTAGAAAATTCGTTTATCTTCCATCTTGTTATATCTTTATCTTCATTATATCCATATCTATCAGACATTTTTCAATTGATTCCTTGAAAAAATTTTTTGCAATTAATTAATATTAAGAGTTATTTACAGATATAGCCGCAATAATAATCTCAATATTATAATAAATATAAAATTGTTTATTACATAATTGAATGATTGAATGATACATAATAAAAATGACAAATGGCAAATTTGTACAACGATACAGAGAACTATTGATAACCAAAATAATGATTATTTTATAATGTAATTATATCTATTAATGTTAATGTAATTATATTATTAATGTAATTATATCTATATCAATTATTGTAATATACATTGTTCATCGGATGTTCGATGTAAGGCATCTATATCCTTGGTAGCCAAAAGTCCTTTAGTACTTTCAGCTTCTTTCATCCAAATCTGTATCTATTAATCAAAAACATTTTATAAAGAATTATTAATTTAAAAACAATACTTATACAATCGACAAAAGGAACAATAAAACAACACCTATACACTCAACAAAAAAATCAATAACTTTATAAAAATTTATACATTAGTACTTTATATGCTTGTACAGAAAATTGTTTATTAAACATTAATAAAGTTTCATAATATTTTCATTCTAGTTTATACTATATATACTCTTTTTGTATATTCTGTTTATACTGTTTATACGCGATAAAATAAGAATATAAGTTAGATTTGACAGATACGTTTTTAGGAGTTTATAAGTCGCATCGTGTAACAAGTGCCGATACGGATAAACGTTCAAACATATAAGACATTTTCATTAAGATTGTATTACGTGAAATAGCAATTATTTTTATTTTTCTCAGATTGTACAAATTATGAAAAATTCCAAAAATAAACATTTTTTTTAAAGAAAGTAAAGTTAAATCATTTTATGTTAACATAATGTCTCATAAATCATCCCCATGACCATCATTTTCAAATGGCATCCTAGTGATCAAATGATCAGCGCTATTCAAAATTCTTTGAAAAATTTATAAAAAATAAATATTATCTAGTATAAAATAAAAACTGCATCATAAAATCCTATTGTCGATATTATGAACTATGTTACAGAATATTTTATTATCTTATATGATGATAAAAAATTCTATTATGTCATATATAGTAAAACATATAAAACTTGCTAGAGAGAGAGACAATGGATTAACCAATTATATAACAAACTCTCATCTCAATCAAATTTTATCGAATATATGCAATTGTCTGAAAATTAACCCTAAAATAGATCCAGTCGGAAAATAATGATACAATCATAGGCTGCCAGTGACATGTACTCATGCAATAAGATACTCTGCATTTCTTAAATTACTGTTAATTTTAATTAAAAATATAATTTTTGAAATATAAAAAATAAAATATATATAATATGAAAAATTTGTCTTCACGAATCTATTATATTATAATTTAATAATTTTTTTATTAATGATATTTGTGAAGGACAACATAATCAGCAGTAATAACGAAGGGATTGAAGAAAAAATTCAATCATTTATTAATATATCTATTAAATCATTTCAAATCTTTGGCATACTATATATTAGATTTATTTTTTTGATATATAATTCATTTATGATCTATTTAATATTTTATTTTATATTTATATATTTGTTTTCGTTTTAAAATTTATTGAAAAATGAAAGTAAAAACTTTAAAAATAAATGATTCTTCAGTAAAGATAATGTAATATTCTAATTTATTTAATCACCTGTTTATGCAGCAAATCTCTTCTTCGACCTAATGGTTCCTTCCCCAACAGAGGCATAAGTATACTTAGACAGGATTGAAACTTTTCTAAAGCCAGGGTATAGTTACCCTCAGCGAGATATTGTTCAGCAGCTTCTCCTATTTCAAGTGCATCCGCCATATTCGTAGTACTTTTACTGAGAATTCCTATCGATAAACAAGTTACGTCACAGCTTTTTATAGCTTATAAATTGAAATTTTGAACTATTATTTTAAACAGTATTATTAATTTATCACATAGCTAATCAAGAATAACAATTATGTAAAATTTTATTTGAGTAAACCACTTTATTCTATAATTTTCAATACGATACAAACGTAATTCCAAGTACACAAATGCCGAGCTTTTCTCTAAAGATGCTATCTTTTGCAGGGACGAAATGTTTCCTTTATTTTCAGGCGCCGGGCCCTTATTTTCATCTATAAACGCCACTTTGAGTGTTTCTGCTCTCCTTATGTAATCATTCACGCGATGTCGTAATATCTCTTTTCGTTTTAAATCATTCTCATCTAATTGTAATAAAATAAGACATTCATAAAAAATCTCGAGAAATCTAAAATTAAGACATATCTAAACGTTAAAAATTCATGAAGCAGGTTTACTTGTCAAAATTGGAATGAAATATCTAAGAGCCTCGCAATAAAGATAAAATGCTTCTTTTGCATTTTTCTCGGTATCCATTTCAACAGCCTTATGTACCAGTGCGACTGCCTTATCATAATTTTCTTTAGTGGGCGCATGCTCCAGGTCCAGAAAATCATGTGCGAAAAATTCATCGTACGTTATTCGATCGGCAGGATTATGCTTCAGCAAAGCCATAAGCAAATCCTTACACGTAGCCGACACGTGGGATGCCTTCGGTATCTACGATGAATAATACTGATAAGTATAAATAAAGACGCTTGAAATTTAAACAATAAGTAAGAGATAAGGATCAAATAAAAGTCAGCACTGTTAATGATACATCTTTTATGATACATCTTCCTCAGCAAACTAATTATTTTATCTTAAAATGTAGTTAAGTTAAAAATGAAATTGCAATATTATAATTATTTATTAATAATCAATTTTAATATTGCTGATGTTAATAAATATTTAAGATATTTGTAAATAATTCGATTCAAAAAATATCTCGATTAATTTATTCATCATGATATATCTTAATGATTATGATAAAGATTTTTATATTAATTTTTTAAATTAATTAATACCTTAGTGCCATTCTACAATAAGCCATAAGTGATAGAACATAAATCAGAAAATAAGAATTGACCAATCATAGTCGAGTATTCTTATTATATATTCAATCTGTGATTGGTCAATTCTTAGTTTCTAATTTATGATTTATTATTAATAGTTTATTATAGAAAGCATATTAATGTAGATTAATATGAACATTATTAATAATAATACTTACGTATTATCGACCGACTCGATTTTGAAATGATTTTGAAATGATTTTGAAATGATTTTGAAATGATTTTGAAATGATTTGAAATGATTTTTACATATCATTAAAAGAACTGATCTCGAAGTAATTATAATATTGTAATACTAAGATTGCAAAAATTGTGAAATTTGTTATAATTCGTGCGTTTAATTAAAAGAGCTATTCATCGAAGCGTATTAGATCAAAATTTCTATACTTCTAGACTCAGTGGTAAGCTGTAAATATTTTAACAATATATTTAAGGCTTAATTAAGATCGATAACTTAATGATGCTCCTAACTTAATCTAGATACGATTAAAAACGCGTTAAAAAATATAAAAAAATGTCATTTTTTAATTATTTATTGTTTGAATTAAAAAATATATTATGTATATATAAAAACAGATTATTTAAATATTACTTCTTTTTAATTTGAAAAAATTTTAATTAAAATTTAATTTAGAAAGGACTCCGCACAAAACCACGAGTTTTTAGTCCTCTGTGAGATTGGTTGAAATTTTAGTATGTTATAGTTCTTGACTTACTGATCAAAAGTTTCCTTAGGCACAAAGTTTAAAAATGACTAATTTGCATACGCGCGCACACATACAATCATATTTAAAAATTGCTGATTCTGCTAGATAGATTTTTGTGACTCTTTTCACATCATCTCCTATGAGATGCTTGATTTATGTGAGTCCCCTATTTATATTTATATTTATAACGTACGCGCGCGCGCGCGTGTGTGTGTATGTGTGTGTGTGTGTGTGTGTGTGTGTGTGTGTGTGTGTGTGTGTGTGTGTGTGAGACTGAGTAAGTGGGTGGTAATTAATATGAATTACTTGTTGTTACCCCAATATTTTAAAACATGTGCTTTTCAAGCTAAATAGTAGTGTACTATTTAGCCCCACACACAAATACACATACATGCACAGGCAAACACATAAACCTTTCTCAAAAGTGTGATTTCATAAATTGCATATTATTATCTAAAATCTCTCGATTCATTATAAAAAACTGATTTGGAACATTACAAAAATAAATATAAAATATAACATTTCAAACGGATGTAGCAAAAAACCTAGTCATTTTTAAGCACTTTGTGCCTAAGGAAACTTTTGATTAGTAAGTCAAGAACTATAATATACTAAAATTTCAGCCAATTTCACAGAAAGTCAAAAACCCGTTTTACATATTTTGCCCGTTTGCATATTACGTAAATGTATACAAAGAAAAATTTAATTTAGAAATTTATACTACGTAAATGTATACAAGGAAATAATTTATGGATGCGGTCCACTTGATGCTATAAATGTTCAAAGTGTTTGACCAATCAGAGTAAAGAATTTTGACCAATCAAAAAATATTTCGATTTATAGCATCAAGTAGGCGTATTCTATATTTATATTTTCCAAGGAAAATTTAAAAGGCTCTAACTAAACTAAACTAAAAAAAATAAATAATGGATCTATTCTTTTTAGTTGAACTGGCTGCACTAGTTCAAAGTTTATCTTTCTTCTTTCAGTGTAAGAAAGAAAGATAAACTGTAAACTAGTACAACCAATTCAGCCAAAAAGAACAGGATAATGACCCAGTTCAAGCCTATTTTAATTTGCTGAATAGACTACATAGATATATTTTTAGTGCATAAAGAAAATAAACCTTAATAGCAGGATCACCTCTATTAGTTGACTGCTCTTGATTTTTTCCGCTAGTTCCCTGAAACTACTACTAGAATAGGGAGCTTTTACCAAAAAGACTATTCGTACATGATCACTCCG